GGGAAAAAAAAAAAGAGACACAAGAACATCATCGCACAGGAGCGACTAGATGTTCGTTGTTTGTTGTTGTCGTGGTGGCGGTGAATAAAATTTAATTATTTCTTCCCGAGATTCATCGTTACATGGGATTACCGTCAATATGATCGAGAACGAGACGAACTGGGGCACCGAACTCTGGGTAAGAGTCATTCGTGATGTTTATTTGTTTTTGTTGTTATTGATAAAAGATGCGCTTCATTTTGTTGTTGTCATGGGGATGATGGGGATGATGATGATGAGGGAGATTCGCACCTAGTAACAGATGGCTTCTCCCCCGTCGTCCACAGCCGCCCGGTTTTATAATACCTGTTTTATAATTCTCGGGGCCAAGAAAAAGAGGTCGCAGGTGTCTGCCCGCCCGTGCAATAGCCACAATATAACCAACCTAACCTGTGTGCCGTTCTTTAGCAGCAAACACTCACACGTACACATATACAGACCGACCGACCGTGCAGCTTCATCTCATCTCTGTACCTCTTAATCATTTTTATTATTATTATTATTTTGGTACCTGTGCTCGTCGAGTCCGATCTTTTGTTTATATACTTATGTGTTAATTAGCGCCGGAAATCCGGGTAAATTCCGGTAATTTCCATCATTACGAATCGTTATTTCTATATTATTGATATTTAATTTTTCTGGTGCGAGAGGTATGAGACATCGCCATGAGCATGAGTCATGTCCCACCCCGGCAAATTCCGCGCCCTCTGTCTTCCATCGTGCCCTTTTCGATGGATGACGGCCCACACTCACACAATAAGGGTGCAACAGCAAACACACACACACATTCAACGAATTGATCATGTTTTCGTTGGAAGTTTCATTCCGCCCTCGTTACACACACACACCCACATTCAAATAAAAGATCTTTACTTGAAAATCACAGCCCGAAAACGAAAAATCGCACGAGAAGAAATCGTTTGGAAACGAGTGGAAGAAACTCGATGTGAGGGAAGGAGAGGAGAGGAGAGGCAACGCAATCCTTGCTTCCATGAATGGCTTTGATCCGTTGCGCAATCGAAACACGTTATTACTTCCTTCGAGAAATTGTTTCAACATTTCGTATAAACGAAACGCTGCTGCTGCTGCTAACGACAAACTTCGAGGAACACACACAAAAAATTACATTTCTCCAAAACGTGTTTTTTTCCTTACTTTTATTACAGGAAAGTACGCATTAGTCATTTTCAACTGGAGAATCCGCTCAGGTAAAGCAAATTAAGGTTTCCATGCTCAAAAAAGATGAAAGACATGTATTTTGAACTGCCATGGAAACGACTATTGAAAGTTTGAAAGCAACCGAGTACGTAAACAAAATTCTGAGAAGTGTAACCACGGTTACAGCCGCAATTGTGTACCGAGAAATCTGCATTTGTTTTATGCACTCTATTCGATCGATAAATGAAACAATTGCAAACGGCTGATTACCTCATCAGCTTTTGATCGAATTACCGGGAAGTTTTAATTGAGACGAATTGAGAACAAATAAGAAAGAGAGGCAACGGTTTTTCGGCTTCGCAGGCAAACCGAACTTCCGAATGAATGAGATGGAACATAGTTTGTGATTGTTTAGTGGCGATGATTATGATGATGTTGACGATGAATGCAACTTCCGATGCACAATGAAAGGTCGTTGGACAGATAAGACGCAGCAGCAACGCTCGTTTGTGGCACTTCTCGTTTATCAAATCTATCATTTTCTAGTACACACAAATATTATTGGATTGTTGTATCGAATGCAAACACAACTTTACTCAAGTGAGAGTGTGTGTGTGTGGGACGACGTTGGGAGGATTACGTAATCCGTCCAAACCCGAATCCGGTGGAAATTTTTAGGTTCTGCTCTGTTTTTGGTTTTACTACGAAAATATCACGTTAATCATCAACATTGATGGAAAACAATCTGATAAAAGAAAGAAATGAATCTGTTCTGGGAAGTAGAAAATTGCCAACTGCGAATTCTGTGTCAGGGTTGCCAATACAACATAATCGGCTCTCAGACATTCCGACGTCGTGTTACTATTTTCTTTTTATTCATTTATTTCTTCTTTTTTTGATCCGGTTAATGCGATTATCGGGCTGACCCATATTGCAGGCAGCGATCACGTTTCGTAACGTACGCGAAGCAATCTTTGATTCTTCACAAGAACAGCAACTACAACATCATCATCATCATCAAAAAAAGAAAAAGTGATAGAGAAAGAGGTGTGAATAATAAAATAAAAGGGAAATTAAATTTATTCTCCCTTCTTTCCTTTCTCTCTGTCTGTCTGTCTGTTTGTTGGTCTGCGTATGGTGAATGGTGGTGGGAAACACGCATACCAACCATTCATTTGTTGGTAATCACGTATGGACGTTGTTCCATTGTTCGTAAACTCTGTACCAACACGCAGGCACCAAAGCGAAAGAAAGAAAAAGAGAGAAATAGATACGAATACGTGTGCGTATGCGGTTCGAATAAAATACGCCAACGCGCGCGCGTTTTACTACATTCGATCTCGATCACAATTTCACTTTCGCTTCTTTCTTTTTTTTTTTAAATTTTAAATTTTCGTCCACGAACAGAGAATAATAAAAACAATCGGTCGTTTTCCAAAAAGAAAACAACAGACGCACGCATCGATTCGTGTCGATAGGTATTCGGACTTTCCGTCACGATTCGTCGTTCAATGAATAAATGCGCGACGCGTCGTCATTGTAAAAGCACACATCTTTCTTCGGTACGAATGTTTATGTAATAATAATTTAACTCTTCGAACCGGAATGTTGGCGCGCGGCTGGCGCTTTCTTTTTCTTCCCGAAAACGAAATAAAAGAAGCACTGAAAACAGGTTGACAATTGCTTCTCTCGCAAAGAGGAATACGAACGAACGAACGCTCACTCGCTCATTCCTATAAAACCGTAAAATTCAATTTAAATTCCATGACGAACTTTTTTACAAACTCGATCAAGCGAATCGAAATTTATTTATATTTAGAATCGCCGATTAAAGTTATCGATAAAAAGAAGCAAAGCATTAATTAATTAGAATCGAACGAAACTTGGTTACTTATTATAATTATACCGCTTCTATGTTGGTAAAAGTTGGCCAACGTTAATATGCGAATTGGGCAAAGTTGGTAACATGCGCTTTAATAGTAAAGTTGGTATGGCAAAGTGCGAACGATTTCGTTGCGGAATTTGCGGCCGCAGGTCGTAAATTAAGCGGGACCAGGAGAGCGTTTACCGTGCGGCAACAGCAGCAACAGCATACGTGGGTTTGATTTATTTATTTATTTCTTTTTCGCTCGCTGCTCGACTTGCCTCGTTTTCGTAGGTAGCAGACCGGACTCGATTTCCCGTTTTGACAGTTGCAAATAGGCAGCAGACCATAACGTACCCAAAACAGCCAGCCATCCAGACCTCCCCTCTCATCCCATCCCATAAACAAACGAACCTTCCACTATTATTATTATTGTTTTTTACACGCCTTCTGCGATAAATGGATGGATGGACTCTTTCTTTCTGATAATAATGATGATGATGATGATGATAATGATGCGTCAAGTCGTGTGTGTGTAAATAGAGGAAGAGAAACGGCGACGAGAAGAGACCGGAGGGCGTTAATTATTGCAGAGAAAAGAATGAAGAGAGAAAGATTGCACGTAAGGATAGGAAATATTCCATTCCATATTTCATAGCGGACTTCAATCGATCAATTATTGCTTCGGAGAATAAAATGTATCTCGTCGGCGCTGACTATTATTACTATTATACACAGTGTGTATTGTTTGTACAAGTTATTGAAATCCGAAGGTCGAAAAACATGGAAATCGTAGGAATTAATACATACACACAGAGAGAAAGAGAGAGAAAGAGAGATACGCGAAACGTCAAGGAACTGACTGATGAAAGGACGATTACGTACGTCGATGATCCAATATATATAAACATTCTCCTTTCAGTCGCCTCTTACGACAAGCAGAAGACACACTTTGGTCGTATTCTTTTAACTTCAGCCCCGAACCAAAGGGCGGCGAACAGTCCAAACCGTCGTCGTCTTGGATACGACGACGTACATGCACTACATAACCATGGGAACGCAGAGAGAAAGAGAGAGAGAATCGAGAAATATTAAAACAAATGAAATGGAAGAGTCGTTTTTGTTTCGGTTCCCACAGAGAGCGGTGGCTCTTTTAATAATAATAATACGTATACACGATAATAATGGAAAGGAGGAAAAAAAAAGGGGGCCCCGGCTTTTCCCGACGTTTAAAAACGCGGACTGAAATGGAAGAATGCACGAACGAACAAACGGGTATGAGAGTGAGAAGGTGGAGCAGACCGAGGGAGTAAAAGAGACTGACTGATTGACTGACTGAGCGGGCAGGAGGAAGAGGAGGAGGAGGAGGACTGGTCATTAAGCGAAACACAATGAAGGTGCATTGTGTTTTCATTTTCTGTGTGCACCCATTGATTAATTCCTTCCTCCACCTTCTCGTCTACTTCGTCGTCGTCGTCGTCGCCACCGCCACTCGTCCTCCTCTCCGTATATTTACATATTTAGTAAATCGTAAGTTATTTTTGGGATCGCGTGCGTTCATGTTGAACCGCGACGCCGGTAAAACGACGTGTTTACCGGTATTATTAGACCCCCATACAATTTTCGATCTCATCCTTCTACTTCTCCTTCTGCCCTGCCATGCCCGTCGTTTCGGTACTCTATTTTCGGATCTTTTTGATGCTTCGCAGAACGCATACAGCACGCACGCACGCACACACACACCACTTGACCTGACCGATTTTTTTTTTGTTGTACGCAAACCAAAAAGAAATCGACGCGTGCCAAACAGTCTCTTAACCTTTCTTAAATGTCAATCTGCGGCCCTTAATTTGTGTCGACACACACAACCCTGGGGGGGGTGGATTACAACTCGTTGCTATGCGTATTCAACAACAAATTCGTTAATCCCGTTACCATGGAAATAATAATTTAATTTCACGGCACAGTTTAAGCGCCTCATTAACTGGATTAAATCTCGCGCATATTCCAATTGGATTTGATTGGATTCAACTGGAATACTTTTAACGTTTCCGTTTTAATTGCTACGCGAAATTGATTAATTTCCGTGCTCTATTACACCATTCTCTATACATATATAAAAATTCTAAATTGTTATCCTTCGAAAGTTGCTCGCAACTGAAGCTAATTGCGCTATTGCACGTTCACAAGGTAACAACAACAATAAATGCAGGGAAAAAAAATAGAGAAGAAAATCGCAGCTTTCGCGAAATCTTTGCAAAACTCGTTTCTTTTCTCCACATTGTTTTTTTCTTCTCTTCCTCTCTCTCTCACTGATCAAGGAAACAAGACAAGATGTATTTTAGATTAACAGAAATAATTCAATTTAAAGATTCGGAGTTCTCTCACCTTGAACTCTCTCGCTCTGTGAAATTAAGTATGCTTGATTTGAAATGTAAACAGCTGGCTGACTTCGATAAATTCAAATTTTTACCTTTCGCTAATTAGGAATTAATTGAGAAAAACATTACCGTATGAAATTATGATTTCCGATAACAGATTCGTTTCTGACCTGCAGAAATTCGAAAATCTAATAATAATTTGGACATTTTAAGTAAAATTAATCACATCGTTAGATTCAAGTTTTTCGAGTCGGGAACAAATTAACATATATACCGTTGAAAGTTGGTAAAACAAAAAGGAGAGAGACAGAGAGAGAGAAAAGGTGTTTTTAGTTTAGAATAGAGACGGGCACGTGCGACTTTCGAAAAAATCAAGTGTGATCTGCGATCGATTGTGTTTTGTCAAAAGGAGATGATAGCTTAGTTGGCAGAAACAAGCGAAAAGCAATTGTGGTAAATTGGATTTGGAAATGAGGAGAAAACGATTAAGAAAAAGAAAAAAAAACAAAACCGGAAACGTGTATGATGAGGTGTGTGTGTGTGTAACTGTGCTTCTTGTGCGGCTCTCTCTCGGTGCCATATGTGTGTGTGTGTGTCCGCTGCATTCCCGGGTCGTTCAGAAATTTATTACGAGTTGCGACTAATTGCCGCCGTTGCCGAGATGGTATGGTCGTCAGTCAGGACAGGACAGGAGGTCAGGTCAAGAAGAGGATGAATGCGGAGCGAACGGGTGCGGGGGGGAGCTTCAACGCTTCAATGGAATGCAACAATTACAATAAACAAAACAAACACAATAAACAGTTGATGAATGCACGGAATGTTTGATTATTTTTTTTTGTGTGGTGGATGATGCGGGTATATGAGATGTATCTTTTATTATTTGATATAGAGCGTTATTACATTGTCTAGAGCAGGAGTTCCCAAACTGTGCAACGATTTTACCTCCACGTTAAAGAGTATTTCTAGAATGCAAATTATACAAATGAATTGATAAAGTTGAATGACTCCACTAAAATGTTTGGGATTTCGATGTTATTAGTTTCGGAAAAACTCTTTGCATTACATTGAATTTCCATTTGTTTAATTTCAGGACCAGTACGACAATTTGGCGACGCACACGCTGAAGGGTATCGAATTCCTCGAGAGGTTCGGACATTTCATCAGAGATCGGGCGACCATCGAAACGGAATACGCCAACAAACTCAGGTAAATAAATGAAGAACTTCTATTTTGATATGTGAAGAAACAAAGAGACGACCGCGACGAAGATATTGTGCGTGGGTCATCATCATCGTGATAATCATCGCGTCAAACATCAATCTAATAATCTAATATGAAAGGGGGACGACGACGACGACGAGTAACACGACATCATCATCATCATCATCAGCTGCGATGGTGACGCAAGCCGCCTCCCAGAAAATTAACGTTCAGCTTTGGAAGATTATTTCCTTCTTTAAGTGCGTGCGCGATCTTTACCGCGAATCAATCTCAACCTTTCCGTATCCCAATTCGGTAACGCGAAACCATTTTCGTCTCAATCAGAAATCCCCTTCTCTCTCTCTCTCTCTCTCGTTATGAATCTCAACCAAAAACCTGTTGAGAACGGATAACTTTTTCTTGCGAGAAAAGAGCATCATACACCACGCACGCACACACGCATAAACCGAAAAGGCCAACAGAACCTTGAATATTCCGTTTTTATATCTGTTTCCAGCGCTCTTCGAGGTTGTTCATCCTTCCCCTCCACGCCAACTAAATATATGCAACGCGATTTGCGGCCACTTTTTTTTTATTTTCGAAAAATTCCGCTCCGCTCAGCCCGTTCCGTTCCGTCCGATCCAACCTTTTCTTCTTCTTCTTTCATATTTATTACAAGCGCACGCTCTTTTTTTTTTCCTTCCTTCCTCCTCCTTCCTGCTGCAATCTCAGCCGTTTTCTCCCTTCACCTCCCGCAACTCTATTTCCGTAACACCGGCAACGCAACAACAACCCAAATGAAAAAAAGAAAAGAAACCGTCTCCTCGTCCTCTTTTTGTTTTCGCTTTTCGAAGACGTAGGCGGCGTCGGTGAAGAGGAGGCCTCAAGGTCGCTCCCGACGAAAGAATAATAATAAATAAACCCAATTTCAAACAAATCTCTGACATTTGCAAATTATTTAGTTTCATCGCCTACTTAATATTTCGGATTAATCTGCGGCACACGTGTTGCGAGAAAAATCCTAGAACAGATTAAGTCAGTCGAAGGTTGCGGTGCTCTCGTTTCGCGAATGAAAATTATATTATGTAGAAAGAAAAAAAAGAAAAGGCAAACAAACAGTGTGTGTTTGTCTGTGATTTCCGATTCGTTTACGCAATTAGTCACACATAGTGAGAGAGAGAGACTTCTCTGGTGATTTTGCGATGACGCTTTTCCTGCGATTCGTAGCACCGTCTTAGTCATCATCATCCGCATCGTCTCGTCTCGTAGATTCGTTTCACCTATCATTAGCTAGCAGGATTAACAATTTGCGTTCGAAAACTGTCATCGCACGACAAATTCGTACATGCGTTTAATATCAATCGATTTGGCAGTTATCAGCTGTCGATGATGATGATACGAATACGGTAATTGACGGTAATCAGCTGATGATGACACTTGCATAGAAGCTTAACGGCTATTGCGATTAATTGCGTTCTTTTGAATAAATGAACAATGAAACGAGATGGGATTACCGTTTATAGATAATAATAACAACAATAGTTTTTCTCTCTTTAAATCTTTCAATCTTAATCCGAGATTGTGGCGATATGTCGTAAAAATGTGCAGAGCTCAAATTGCTTTTGGTTTGCAACGAAAACGAGATTGCTGCCGCCACTAATCGGATAAATCTCTCTTTTCATCTTATCTCTAATGTTTTCAATGCTTCTGTTGCAGACGACTGGCAAAGACGTACCAACCCAGGAAAAAGGATGAGGAGGAAAACCAGTGAGTGTAAAATCTATATGCAATATACAACAACAACAACGACAACAAAAAAATACCCAAGATGTAAATCGCGACGTCGGCACTATTATAATAAGAACAGAACCTTGGTACACTTTGCGTGTTTCCAGTAAAATAAAATTTAAAAAAAATTGTTCAAGGCAACATTACATTACACAGACCACTTGAAACAATGGAGCAAGCGAACAAGAAAACTTCCTTTTCTATTTTGTTAATACTTCAAAGCTGTTCGCAACACATAAATTCGAACTGCCTGCAGAAACTGACGGAAACTGCTCTTCTCTCATTACCTAATTTGAGGAGGACGTGAGTGTTGAGTTTCCTTTTGATGGTGTTTATGCAATTAATGACCCTTCGCAATTAGCGTCAATCAAAACCTAATTTAGATTAGATTACTACCGCAATTTTCACCATTCAACTTGACAACAATTTTATTCGCAAACTTCACAATTTGCCAGTTTTGTTTCATTTACGCGGTTCTTGGGTTGCGGTTTACCATTATCATTATCATTGATGCAATTGATTCGGTTTTTATATCAATTGCATTTGAGTCATGATTTTTTTTTCATTTTCTGGTGAGGAGAGGAGTAAAGTGGAAAAGCGTTTCGTTTCGTTATCATATCGTCAGCACATCCACTGAGCAGCAGCGGGTATCAATGAAAACAAAGGACGAGCGCGAGTTTGAGTCACCCAAAGCCAGACGGATTTATTTTTAAATTATTTTATTATTACGAATAACAACAATTGTCATGGAAACATTGAAAATGTGCAAAGTTGATCCATCGTCGAGGAGAAGACATGGCATGGACGACATTTATTTCAAGTAGTGCAGCTCCAAAGTGTGTTTGCTGCTTATAATTCAACACTTCAGGCTGTAATACTTAAAACAACTGCCGTCGTTTTTGTGATGAAAGTCGTGAACGGTTGCTTTGAGCAGTGTAACCAGAGTGTGAAAAAGTTGGAGGATATCGAAAATAAGACTTCTTCGTCTCCTCCACTTGCGGCAAGCAAATACATACACACTGCAGGCTTCACTACTTGGAGCAATCGAACGAATACTGAAGAGAAGAGAAGAGAATTACTTGACCAGCAGAAATCAACGAGTGCATCTTTGTGCAAAGCAGTTGAACCGTGGTGGTTCGGACAGGTTCAACACCTACGGCATCAACTACTTAGCGCAAAGACATACGTGGCGAAAAAGGATGATAACTCGAAAACACTACTCTCGAAGAAGCACAACAACAACAAAACGATTCTTTGATGATATTTGCTTGTTGGTTGCATAAAGTAGTAGTACCGAGAAGGAGCTCAGAAACATCCGTCTACAGCACTGCTACTTATGGTAACCAGCAACAAATCGAACGATGGAAGAAACCGATGGAGGACTGATGCAAATTCGGGCTGGTCACGTCCCTTTTATGCTACTGTTATTGTTACTCTGTGTGCCCCCAAAAACACAAGTGATTTAGATATTTGTATTTGTCCAACATTTGATTTCATATCGTTCGCTTTGTTTTTTTCCCCAGCAACCAACAAATAAAATCGAATCTTTCGTTTGTCTCATCAAACAACTAATTGTTACCAATGACGACGAGCAAACACAACAATATTTGACGAACGCCAATCGTTGTTTTTCTATCCAGATTACGTTTCGTAGCAACGTAGCAAACAAAAAGATTGCGTTATCTCGCAATGTGTTTGTTAAACACTCGAAAAGTCACGTAGGAGAATTCCTTCGTATTAGGAAAACCACAAAGTTTAATTTTAGAAAGGAAGAAGAAAATAATTAATAATAACATTATATTATATTAATAATAATGATCGTGATTCACACACAGATTCGAAAATCTTTCCGCAAAAATAACAATTCAATGTTTGCGGAATGTTTGTGACTCAACTTCGTCCGTAATAAGATAAAGATTTCATTTTTCAAATGTTTTGCTTCTTCTTTTTCTTTATTCTGCGCATTACTTTACGAGTAAGAAGTATAATGCAAATCCTTTGATGTAATTACTTGATAACGTTAATTGTTTGACGATTTTTCGATTTAAAAATAACATCTAAACGAACGACATTGAACTTGTTATTTGAAAACCGAATTGGTGTGGATGTTTTGTCGTTACTTTACAACAAAGTGGTTGGTTGGTTGGTCGATTGGTCGGTCGTTGGGACAGACATACAGACAGACAGTCGAGAGTTAATTGCTTTGTTTGCGTTTTTATTATTTTTAAATTGCAATTTGCATTAGAACGCAAATTTAACATTCTACTGCTAGATTTTTTTGCTACACACACACACACACATATAAATAACATAGATTTTATAAAACGCATCGCGTGCTCAACGGAAATGCAACTGAAATTAC